CTCTGTATCTGTTTGCTATTGAGATTCTTAACTAGTAGACTAAGAATACAGAGGTTAACCAAGCTATTCACTATTGTTGGTTTCTTATGCAAAGGGGGTCCTCTGTATCTGTAAAGACTTTAAAATAAACCTAAGATATGAGTACCAAGCTAAAAGATGTCAATAAAGTATGAAAAACTGTTTAATGATGTTTCAGCTGGGGCAGTTATTGCTGGGGGTCCATTGGAAACAGCTTGTAAAAATAACACTATGGTTTGAAGGGGTGAGTGCTTAAAAATGTTTGTGGAGTGCTTGAAAAAGTTTGTGGACTAGTATTGTCCAGCTGGATTATAGTTTATATGCTAAATGTGGTGTATGTAGTTCTTAGTAGCAATTTATGCTGTAAAGGGAATCACTTATTTGTGATTGTACATGATCAATGTGGAATTATGGAACATTCATCATAAAATAATTTTTCACGGAAGCATCACCTTTCATTTGCATTTTAATGAGCACGAATTACTTTTTTCTGTTGCGAACATCTTTTTAAAAAAAACAATTATAGGACCTCTGTTTTATTGCCTAGGAACAATTATCATATCATAATTGTTTACGAACCACAGATATTACCAACATAATTTTAAGTTACATGATGCCATGCAGCCAGCTTGGATGAAGTTTTATTTTTTTCCCCACTCGCTGTAAGAATATAGGTGTAATTTTATATGCTACTGGATGTTACAAGGATGTCTTTAGTATTTGTTCTCTTTTTGACTTTTCCCCTTCTTTTTGGAGAATAGGCAACACTGTGCCAGGGACAATAACATTGATATAATTGACTGTTTTCCTCTGTCCAGGTGCCCACGCCTTAAAAGACTTGTTTTGCCAGCATGGAATCGAGTAGAGAATAAAATGATTGAAGCTATTAAGCTGTGGAAGGATCTTGAATCCCTGACAATGCCAAGCATAGTGGATTCCCCTCTTCTTGTTCAGGCAATTGCTACTAATTGCAGGAAATTCAGTGAACTCAAGATCATGGGCCCGTTTGACATTTATTTCGCTTCCTCCCTTGTTACCTATCTTCCAACATTGAAAGTTTTGAGCCTTCGATGCTCAATGCTATATAAGGACACATTGATCTTCATCTTGGATAATATGTGTTGCCTAGAAGTGCTCAACATATCGCATTGCCTTCTAATAGAAGTCCCAACACCTCCCGCACCAAGAAGAATTGTTAGGCAGCTTGATAAAACTATCCTGGAGAAGGCTTCTCATTTACGCTACTTCTTAGCCTGCATGAGTGACACTTGCATCATGTGCCAAAAAACAAGAAATGACGAAGGGCTCATGCGGTGGTACAAGTACGACGAAGGGCTGTGGAAGGAAGATGAGATCAGCTCTCTTGCTCTTTGATTTGAGCATTTTAAGACCAGACCAAATTATAGCGGGCTACAAGTTCCACCACTATATGTCCACGTATCCTTTTTCTTGGTTATTCTTTCACTGCATACCAGGAACAGAAGAAGACAACGTTGGAGGAAGCAACTAAGGGCATTCTGTCTATTTTATGTTAGTTGTGGTGATAAAATGCCAAACTCTGGGTGGTTGTGGTGATAAAATGCCAAACTCTGGGTGGTTGTGGAGGGGCTGAAGATTTGCTGTTACTGCTGATAAATGTATATATATACATGATAAATTGCAATTTTTTTAGTTGTTCCTAGGGCACCCTCTTTTTTTATTTATGGTTTTTGTTTCCTTTTTTGAATATATAATATATTTTGTACCTTTTAGCTACCTCACGAAATTATTTAATTCTTTTCCTTATCAAGATAGGAGTGTTTTGATGTGTTGCCTGATCTCTAAGAATTTCCCTGTCCACTTTTAACCTTAGATTTGTGAAATCATGAACCTTTACGGACACTGAATTTAGGCTCATCTGTTTATATGATCTTGTCAGCTTCGAATATAAAATCAAGTGATTTTTGTGGTTTGATTATAGATTTTTGTTCATTACTTTATTCAGATGCAAGGGCTATAACTTGCGGCTTGAACTGGTCTTGTATAGACATGATTTCCTCCTACAATTTTCTCTGCGTGATCTTTGAATATCCAAGTTTTTGCCATTTTCCAGTTCAACAGTCAAATTCCAAACCCTTTAAAGTCCTCACTGTAATTGTATAATGGTGTCCATCTTTTTTGTTTCTTTCTTTTTTTCTTAGTCATGGATTGATGAGCAATTTGCATTATTCAGTTTCTTTTTTTATAGGGATTCCCATTGACACAAATAAAAATAAATAAAAAACAAAAAGAACAGAAAAGAAAAGAGGACATAACCACCTTTTGGACAAACTTGGTTGGCATTTGGCAACTACCGGTCTTACAAGAAGTTTGCTTGACAGGTGATCGAAGGATAAAAAGTTCAAAGCTGTGATGTGTTATTTTCTGACCTTTGTTTTGGTGACTTTCACAAAAATGTTTTTTAGTTTACTTTTTTCAAGTATATATTAAATTGATATTTTTTAAGTATTTTTAATAATTTTGATGTGTTAATATAAAAAATTAAAAAAATTATATATTTTTAATTAAAAAAATTATTCACTCCAATACTAAATACTGGATTTATTTGCCATCCATTACTTAGATTGTATTTAATGATATATTTGAAATTATTTTTCAAGGTATATTTAGATTTGAAAATAATGATGCTAAAAACATTGAAAAAATTGTTAAAAATTATAATTTGATATATTTTTTACAAAAAAATACATGCATTGTATTGTTACTTTAATAAAATAAATAAATAAATCATACACAATGGATTAATCATGATCATCAAAGCATTAACTTAGATGATAAGATAACAAGTTTTATTTATGATAAGATGAGTAGTGTTATCTACGTTACCGATTAAAATTAGAATTAAAAAGAATTATTTTTTGGAAATGCTGATTTAATTTCTTGTTAGAAAAGGGATTAGCAAGTCAAAGCAAGTCAAATGTAATTGTTTTTAAAATTTTAAAACTTCCATGTAAGAAACAATTTGAAGATCATTTATTTGATTTTCCATAATTTATACATAAAAAATTAGTTTTAAAGTCTCCGAAAATGTGTGGATAGGTAGCGTGGAAGAACATTTGCTGCAAATTTAAGTATCCAGGGTGTACGGGTGCTTGAAAATGTGGTTGCATATATTTTTTAATAGCATTTAATTTTTTTTATTTAAATAAATTTTTTATTTTTTATTATTTTTATGTGTTGTTATTAAAAATAAATTATAAAAAAATATTATTTTAATATATTTTTAAATAAAAAATATTTTAAAAAATAATTTCTTCCACAATATCAAATATCGTCTTTTAACTCTCATTATTTCACTACTGTATGCAAAAACTCAATTTTGGAGTTGTGGTGTCTATTTCTTAAGTTTTTTTCCTAAATTAATACATTAAAAAAATAATATTTTCTAACCTAGCAAAAAAATAATTTTTCAGTACAGCACCTCGTAATCATTCATATAAGTGGCCATGTGTGACCTGTTTTTTTTTTTTTAAGGAAATCAATATTTTTTTTTATTAGTGTTATCAAGATTTTTTTAATAATATTAGAGTTGTTGTGATTATAATATTCTTAACTCTTTTTATTTATTTATTTATTTCTCTGGCTTTGGTTGTTATGCTAGCATATTCTTCTTCTTTTTTTTCTTTCATTTGTTCCTTTAATTTTCATGTTTAGATAATTTAGTTCTATTATTATGATTATTTCAATAATTAAAATTATTTTTATTTAATTTAGGCAAAAATTAATTATTTTTTAGCACTTTCATTAAAAAATAAATATAATCTCTAGTTATTTTTTTACACCAAATAATAGATGAGATGATCATAATAATATAACTAAATTTTACTAAATAAAAAATGTAAAAGACTAAATAAAAATATAAACTAAAAAAATTATTTTTTGCTTGTGCGAGATGCACAGGTGTCACCTGCATAATTAATCAAATTATATTAATTTCAAAATTATTATTTCAACTATGCTAGTTTAATTTTATTATTATTATTGTGCTAGTTTTGATAAAAATGCTTATTTCTCCTATGTTTTAAGAATTTATTTTTAAAAATAAAAAAAAAGTGTTAAGGGTAAAAAACTTAAAATTCATAAAAAATTCAATTCTCATAAATTCAATTGGAGATGTCTAACTTTACAATAGTATTTAAGGTATAATTACTAGAGTGGTTTTCCAAATATACCTTCAACATCAAGCATATAAAAAAAACTAAGAACTTGATCTAAGACATGCTTACTAGACCATCCAAACCACAAAAACTACTCCTTCCCCTAATTCTTATGACCTCCTTTTCCAATTCGTCTCCATTTAAACAAGACTTTCATGTGAATGATTTACCTCTTTTTGCTCGACCACACTCTTGACTTGCAAGCTAGAGACAAATTGTTTACCTCTAAAACTACATTTTTCTTGATTATGATTTATCTTTCTTTTGTTTCCAAAACTTAGGCATTCATCCTAAATATCCTTTTATTCATATATTATCTTCAAACCTTTTGGATTTTCCCTAAAAAAATCTACCTTTATGGTATTTGTGTCACATGCACTATATTTCTATCGAGTTTTCCATTGATTTCTTTCTTTCCAGATTTCTCAAGACTTCTTGCCCAACAAACTCTTGGTACTATACTTTGAACTTCCTCACTTGGTTCCACAATCTCACACAATAAATCTCTCTTCACCAATAAGAAAAATTCAAATAGCCCCATCCACAAACTTGATGGATTGAAATACATCGTAATAGACGTCGCAATAAGTCTGTTAGGCAAGTTTTTGCTCATTTGTTCTCTATTTTCACATTCCACAGGCCTTTCAAAACTTCAGCAAATAATCTGGTTATGAGTTTTTCACAAGTTATAATATATAAAACTCATACATATTCCCTATATGAAAACCCCTTAGATAATCTTCCAGATATTAGGATCTTGTAAAAAATAGTGTGTCTTAAGAACAACATTATTTCTAATGAAATATGGCCTAAAAGAACAGATCATGATGAAGAAATTGACTATGATATGTATGACTCTCAATATTCTGTTCATCTCCATAACTTGCAGATACAATACAAAACCAAAAAACTCAAGCAGATAATTTTGGGCATCCCACAACTTCTAGAACCATATAAGATGAAAATGATTATAGATGATGACTATATGTTAGTCTTACAAGTCTAAACTATTCGTGATTAGGATAACCTATCAGATCAGAATCTCTATCAGATAATGAACCTATTATCGATTGATATTAGCATTATACTAGCTTGTCGTTTGTATTATAAGGATACATTATTAAGTATGTTTCAATGCTTTCTAATGTAATGAATGAGGTAAACAAAAGCCTCAAAAGTGTTATAAATAAAGGCTGTGTGTAATGTTGTAAGGCAGAACCTTATAAGAGTAGACCTTGAAGGAGAAACATCTTTAATAAAAAACTTGTTTTTTTAATTTTTTATTCTTCAAGCCTTTTTTTATCTTTACATTAAAAAATTAAAAAAATTTGTTATCATCTAATTAAACATGACTCTAATGAGTAATTGTTGAGTGCCTATAAAAATGGCCGTGTTAAATTACTCTATTAAAGTATTTGTCTAACAATTATCATATATGTTTTCTCATCCACAACTTCTGAGATTAGTAGAGTGATTTTCTAAATATATCTTCATTGTCGAGTATATAAAAAGAATCAAAAATTTAATCCCAGACATACTCAACAGACCACATAAACCACAAACACTACTTGTCTCTCAATTTAATATAAAAACAAATATTTTAACTCACATGTACATATACATTATATCTACAATAACCAATTAGCCAATGGCAACTTAACAAAGATTCACCATGTAAATAAAAACATACATGTTTTTTTTTGACATATATTAAGATATCATTATATTATTATTATTTAGATGTCAAGTCTAAGTCTTCTACCTTTTAATATTTATAATTAACCATTGATCTCATTAAATAAAAAGATGTTTACGATATAATTTTATTTAAACATGTGAAAATATTATCTTTCTCTTGTATGTCAAAAAAACATCAAATGCTTAACAATTTCCCAACTACACAGCAACAAAAGGATAATTGTTTTGGTTTATTACAAAACAGTTTAATTATTATGTTTTCACTTTATATCTGTTTTTAAGAAATTAAAACAACTAAATTATAAAAAAATTATTTGTAATTAACCATATTTTTTTAATTACAATTTATATTTGAACTATAAAAACTAAAGGTTTCATCATGAGTGTTCAAGTATTAAGAATCAATTTTTTTAAAAAAAAATTATTAATGTGTTTTTTTAAAATATATTTAAAAAAATATTTTTATATTAATACATTAAAATAATTATAAATACTAACTAGGTCAATTACGTAATTTTCTAAGTATAAGACATCAAGTTAGAGGGGAAAAAAATAGTCTTCCTCTCAATGGAATCTTTGGTCCTCTAATAGAACCAACTTTAGTTTTTTTTTTATCTACCTCAGGTGATGTGATGGCAAATCTTGATTCCTTATTTTGATTATTTCAGACCAAAGCCATAAGGCTCTGAAGTCTCTCTCTCTCTCTAAATACAGACAAAACCATGGCTTTGGAACTATGGGAAACACTGAAAGAAGCCATAACAGCATACACAGGACTATCACCAGCAACTTTCTTTACGGTTGTAGCTTTA